GGGTATAATGTACAGCATGGTGACTAAAGTTAATAATACTATATTGCACATTTGAAAGTCATTTGGAGAATAAATCTTAAAATTTCTCATCACAAGAAAAAATAATATGTAACTATGTATGTTGACAGATGTTAACTACAGATGGTCCCCAACTTACAATGGTTTGACATACAATTTTTTTGACTTTTTCCAGGCTAGCAGATATGCAGTATGATACTCTTTTGTGATGCTGGGCACCAGTAGCTCCCAGTCAGCCACGCTACCACAAGCGCAAACGAACAATATACTTACAACCATCCTGTACCCATACAACCATTCTGTTTTTTACTTTCAGTGCAGTATGTGATAAATTATATGAGATATTCAACAGTTTATTATAAAATAGGCTTTGTGTTAGATGATTTTGCCCAACTGTAGGCTAATGTAAGTGTTTTGAGCATGTTTAATGTAGGCTAGGCTAAGCTATGATGTTCAGTAGCTTGAGTGTATTAAATGCATTTTCACATATTTTCAACTTATAATGGGTTTATTGGGAAGTAACCCCATTGTTGTAAGTTGAGAAAGATCTGTAGATTATTTTGGTGATCATTTTGCAATACATACAAATATCAAATCGGTATGTTGTACACCTGAAACTACCATAATGTTGTATGTCAATTATCCTCCCCCATCCCCCAAAAATCAATCTTTCTCCATCTCTCCATTCTGATTTTCTCTGTGTTGGCTCTCAGGCAGTTTGTTGATCATGAGTGGCACCAGAAACTGCAGACTTTCATCTTATCCCCTAGCAACCCAAGGAAAAGAAACTCTCAATATTAGGTTGAAATATATAAAATTGTCATTAATGTAGGTCTAAAATGGTTGAGTAATAGCAATTTCAAATGTTTCAACATAATAGTTCTAGAAAAAGTCCCAAGGCCTAAAGTTCATTACTTCAGTTTATATTTCGTACCCACTAATAAACCAATCATTGTGGCTACTAGAAGATAGTACTCTTATTGGCCAGGTCTGATTCATATGCCCACCCATGAGCCATATGACAAAAAGGGAAAGAAGACTGGTTTTCTCAAAGGAAATTTAAGGTGCTATTATCAGAAAAAGGAGAATAAAATCAGAGGAGGCAAAACACCAGATGCCCACTGTGCATATAATAAACAACAAATGTGGCAATTTACCATGAAGGTAACTAAACCTAACTTCAGGGAACCTCATTGCATAGGCTCCTCCCAAGACCATATACCTAATTTTGTATTTAATTTTTTGGATTCTTTTTCTTAAAGAAGGGCCCCCAGTTATATGTTTTAGGACCAATGAAACCTGGAACTGCATCTAATAAAAATGCTCAAAAATCTTTTTGAAATTAATAAATATTCCAATATATTGTACTTCTTTCTGGTTTTAGTGGAAATAAACCATTTACTAAATAGTTTATTCTTTGCAATAACTTAATCTTTTTTCTTTTTTTTTTTTTTTTTTTTTTCGGTACGCGAGCCTCTCACTGCTGTGGCCTCTGCCGTTGCTGAGCACAGGCTCCGGACACGCAGGCTCAGCGGCCATGGCTCACGGGCCCAGCCGCTCCGTGGCATGTGGGATCTTCCCAGACCGGGGCACGAACCCGTGCCCCCCGCATCGGCAGGCGGACTCTCAACCACTGCGCCACCAGGGAAGCCCACTTAATCTCTTTTTACACTAATAGAAAATAATTTGATTATTCCTTTCAGATCTTTCCAACTTCTCAGGATTCAGCATCTTAATGTATTTTTCTTCGCCTCTGTCACAGACCCACACAGATAGGTCCTTTACCATTTTTGCACAGCCCACTTTGAGATGTGCATCTCTGGGTCGCACTGTGGTTCCTGATAGCACCAATTTGAAGAAACTTACCAGTTGTTCATATTCACTCTTAACTAATACTCATTTTTTAAAATTCTCAATTCTAAATCAAAACAACTTCTCTAAAATTACCATAGAGAGAACATGAAATGTAAGGTGGATCTTATATTGCAGTGAATCTAGGATGTGAGTTGAGTCAAAGTTGTATACCTATAGAGGACCCATTATCAGAATTGTGCCAAAGTTGGGTCTAGATAACCAGAAAATGTACCCTTGTTATTGGGATTTCCAACTGCACTTTACCCTTCTATTTGGCAGTCAGCCCCAGGAATGTAAATTCATGCTGTTTTGAATGAGGGGGAAGGTGAGGGAACTAAGTCTGCCTGCTGCTATTCTGATTACAGCATTTGTCCCTCAGAGAGACAGCTCTGGGATTGATGCTATTTTTCTTCCCTCTCAGAAAATGGCGTGGGCTGTGTATCAGGGAAGACCAAGGGGCACCTACAAATGACAATTTCTGCTTAATCCCCCAGCAGGTTTCCAAATCTGTGGTCCTTCAGATGTGCCCTTGAGTCTGACCCATTTATTCCCTCCCCCACCCTCCACCTACTGCAAGAAATATGGCATAGAAACAGAGCAATGCAATTGTGTTGCATTTTTTTCTTTTAATTTGTTGAAATGGTCTCTAGGCAGAAGAAGCGGGGAGTAGAAACCAGATGGCTGTAGCTGAAGTAGAAACCCACTACTAAGGAGCTTGGAGACGCTCAAATCTGGTGGCAGTATTTCCCTGCAGGGACAGGAGATGAAACAGCAGAGTGGTGACAAAAGATTTCCAGAAGACTCACCTCCAGTGTCCTGTTTTCTCTATCCTAGGTCCACACACATGTAAAATGCAGTCCCTTTTCCTTTAATTTTCCAAAGCACCATGAACCTTGGGTTAGAGCAGACTTTTAAGTTTGGTAGTGGGGAGAGAGGTAGTTAGTGGTAACACAAGGGTCTATATCACAAGACTTAATTTACAAATGAGTATTATCCATCCTTCCTTCGCCTCCCTATACCTTCCCTCAGCATCCCAACCACTCACCAAATCTCAGAAAATTTCACCAAACCACCTGATGTGTTCTTCGACCTCTCCTCCCTACACACATGAGGTAGAGAGAAATTTGAGACTGAGGGAAAAAGGAACAGTCAGAGTTGGCTAAGAGTTAACCTCCTTATCTTCCTACATTTGGGGAGACTCAGCCAACAGAAGAGCCCTTCACCCTGGTCTCCCTACCATCTAAACACCTGGAGGATAATAGCACATCAAGGTCTGGGGTGGGAGCTGATGCTTCTCTCCCCCACTCGTCCTTAGGGAAAACTGACTCAATCTTTTGTGAAGCACTATGCAAATGCAGCTGAATATCCATTCAGATATCCCCTGGTTAGGGTTTTTTCCTCCCCAACCAAATACATGGTATCTTTTTCAACACTATTTCTCCAACTCTCCAACACCAACTGGGTGTCCTACAACTCAATACCTGGAGTTAGCGTCAGGCCCCACATGTTTAAGGGCTCAGACCCACAAATCTGCCCTCACTGCAGAGACCAGTCGCAAGTATAAAGTCCCCAGATTACCTATACTTCTGTTCAACTTGGCTACAAATTCGGGGGTTCCCACAAATGCCTCTCAGATTTGGTAATTCGGTAGCATGATTCACAGCACTTGGGAAAGCACTTTACTTACCAGCTTATTATAAAGAATACGACTCAGAAAGAGATGCGTAGGGTATGGGAGGGGGGAGGGGGAGATGCCATGCCCCCTCTCTGAGTATGCCAACCTCCCAGCAAACCTATGTCTTCACCAACCCAGAAGCTCCCTGAACCCCATTGTTTAGGGGTTTTTATGGAGGTTTCATTATGTAGGCATGATTGGTCACACTATTGGCTATTCATGATTAAATCAGTCTCCAGCCTCTCTCCCTTCTGAGGAAGTTGGCGGGGGGGGGGGGGGGGGGGGGGTGCTGAAAGTTCCAAATGCCTAATCAAGGCTTGGTCTTTCTGGTGACAAGGGGCTCCTATCACCCTTATCACTAGGGAAATTACAAGGGATTTAGGAGCTCTGTGCCAGGAACTGAGGACAAAGACCAAACTATCTTTCTTATTATACTACCCCATTATATTCACCTGCCTTGTAAAAGCTTTCTAGAAATGTCTCCTTAGGGTGTTAGCCTTTCTGGCTATTTCTGGCTCTCCCTCTCTGTGTACTCTCTATAACCCCTTAAGAGATTGACCAGAAACCTCCTTTTTGTTCTTCATTAAGCTCTGCAACACATAAGTAGTTCCCCTGTGGCAGACTTCTTTATCTGTCCCCTCCAAACAAACCATTCATGGGAACAAGCATTCTCAGAGCATTGGAGTTGAATGCCCATGCTACCTCTCTTCCTTCCAGAAGAATCTTAGGATGCCAATGGTAAGGGTGAACTTAAATGGCCAAGGAACTCACCCCCCAGGGCCCCCTTTCACACAGTCATCTTCCCTACTATCCTGGGCCACCTCCATTGGCCTCTGGGTCACTGATGTCCCATAAAGGAGAGTTGAGTCATTTTGAGTGTCCAGGGAGGCCTGTTGGCTCTTATTTGTTCAGATCTCTATTGGGAAACTCTCAGAGCTGGGTCCTGAGATTCTGGAATGGAAGACCAGGAGCTTGACTCGTTAAGATGGGATGGGATGGGTTGAGGACCAGTTTGACTGAAGCCCTCTTGCGTTCTGCCCCCACTGCTGCAGGTTTCTCTCCCGGCACATGGTGAACATAGACAAAAACAAAAACACCACCACAACAACAAAACTCCCGGAAACAAAGCTATTTTTAAAAACTGTTATCAAGAGATCTTCCTTCTGAGGCAAAAACCTCACTCCCTCCTCGTTGGGCTTTACTAATCTGTGGCCCCGGAATGTGTTGGAAGGTGAGGGCCTCAAGCTCACACTGGTTGATCTGAAATCCGTGTTTATGTCCCAGCATGTGGCAATGTGCTCCACTCTGATGACACTTTTCGTTTCTAATAATAGAGCAGATGAAGTAATATTGCAATTGATGTTCCCGGGGATTTGATTGGATAAGTGCATAAACCCTGGAGGGGGAAGGGGGGTGTATGGACGGATCACATTAGTATTCCTGTCCTATCAATGTGCGGGGCCGCGAACAACGTCAGCCGGACCGATTCCCTGCGTCTGCCAGTCCCGCCACGGATTCATTAGGGATCCTCAAACAGATGAGCCCCGTGGAGACGAGGAATCAAGACAACGACCAACTGCCTGCTTCGGGGACTGCCAGCCCTTCCAGGCCTGGTGACGGGGGAGGGAGGAGATAGACGAACGGAGCGCCGCTGCGGGAAGACACCCGAAGCTAGAGCGACAATCTCCCCCTGCCCGCCCTCCCCTCCACCTGGCAGCGCAGGCTTTGAAAGCTGCTCACCCATCTGAATGGAAACTAGGAACCGCCGGGCGGCGTGTTCCTTCTCGCCCAGCCTTGCGATCCATGCCGAGCGGAAGGCAGTGCAAGCCCGCGCCAGCGTCCAGCTCCCGGGACAGGGCCGGCAGTGCTGCTGAGCAGAACTTGACCGAGCTCCTTCCTCGCTGCTAGTGGAAGCGATGCTGCACGGCACAGCCAGCGCTTCCCCGGCTCTCCTTCAAGCTGAAGGTTACCCACCCGCGCAGCCAGTCCCAAGCCTGTGAGCGCCGCGCCTCGGGTCCCGGCTCCGGCTGCTTGGCGGCGGCGCGCAGGGCAACTACCTGGCCGCCCGCGCCGGGGCGCACTGCACCAGCGGCTTCGGCTTGGTGGATGTGTATGCATGAGTTCTGCACCGAATGGGCGCAAAAAGCGCCCCAGCCGGTCCACCCGCTCCTCAATCTTCCAGATCAGCAAGCCCCCGCTGCAGAGCCGGGATTGGGAGCGCAGGGGCAGCGGCTCCGAGAGCGCCCACAAAACCCAACGAGCCCTGGACGATTGCAAGATGGTAGGTGGAAAATGCGCCTCCTTTTGTTTTTTTGTTTTTGTTTTTGTTTTTGTTTTTTTTGGAGAGGTGGGGGGAATCGTGTACGTTAATCTTTTGCCTGAGTGCCAGGAACTCCGCCACCCTCAGCTCCTCAATGCCGGTCACGTGCACATGCACTATTTTTAAATCTGCAGTCCCCCAGATTCGGGGTGACACCCGGGTCGTATTGGCCCCGCCAACAAGTGCCGCGGAAATGGTCTTGGGGTCAGCGGCTGTAGGTCGTGCCTCTACCCCCTCGGAGAACGGCAGATATGAAAGACACGGTGAACTGGCTGGCTCACCAGGGAGGGAGGGGCTGAGTAGGTAAGAGTGCTGCTTTGTGGGGAGACAGTAGCAAACAAACCCAAATAGAGTGCACGGGGCTCTGCGGAGGGGACGAAGGTTCCAGCTCAGAGTCTGTAGCCCGTCTTCCCGTCAAGCTCGGAGCCCGGCCGGAGCGGTTCAGTGGTCCGGCAGGAGGTGAATGGTTTGCCTAATATAACCCACCTTTGGCCTTTATCCCCAGGCCAGTTCAAATCCACATCCCAGCTGTGGTAGAGGGGAGAATTCTATGCGAGAGTTCCCAGCATCACTCTCTAGTTACCTGGGAGTGGCATGGTAGCTCTCCAAATATGCTCTGGCTCTTCAGAAACTGAGTCTGAACGGGTGGCGGCAAGTAGGTCTGGAAACAGAGCTTCCATGACGAGACTTACTGATGAAAAATAAACACTTGCTTTGGATGAAGAGAACTTACATCTTTGTGCCCCAATCTTTAAACAATCTGTAGGCTCTTTAGCAGGAGATTTGTGGAGGTGGCTCAGGGGTCAGCGAAAGCCTCTGTTTAGGTACGCAAAATAGGAAACTCCCTGATCAGTGTCTTACGAAAGAAACTCGCTCTCTTTTCCAGCTTGTCCAAGAGTTCAACACGCAAGTGGCCCTGTACCGAGAATTGGTCATTTCTATCGGGGACGTCTCTGTCAGCTGCCCCTCACTCAGGGCGGAAATGCACAAGACAAGAACCAAAGGCTGTGAAATGGCCCGCCAGGCACACCAAAAACTTGCTGCCATCTCGGGGTAGGAGACTCTTGGCATTATTTGGTAATTCATATACATGATGTGTGCATGCGGGCAGGTATTTATGGTGACCGAGGCCTGAGAGATGTTCTCTGCAAATGTGAGGTTTTAACCAATCACCCCGAGATCAGGATTTTCTAGAGAGCTATGAACAGACTGTAGACCAAATTATAATCCAAAAGTTGTGTGATTCTTATATATGTATTGAATATTCGGTTCATTAAGTGATTTTTTTAAAATTAACTTTCAATATGCTGGCCACATGTTGGAATTTGGGGCTTAAGATGTTTTTGCAGAATGTTTGGGCACCAAACTGAAGTTAAATCATCATGCCTCAAGATTATTTTGTCATCTGCTGCTAAACATCTACTGCACAAAAGCCCACAAAATTTACTAAACTATTTACACCATGAGATAAATTCCTATGATATCATTTAAAATAAATTCCCTAAAATAAAGTCTTGGATATAAATTACTCTCTTCACTGTAGTGTATGAAAGGGAAGTTTTAACATGAGGAAACCTTTTTAAAGATTGGGGAAATTCACAAATCTAACTAAATTTAAGCTTTTTGTGCCCCCCCAATTATTTTTATTTCTTTTTATCACATTTATGGATTCTCATGCCTAATTTAGGTGATAAGACAGTGAGTGAAAACTTCTCTCCTGAGACCGCACTCACTCCTTCCCGATCTCTCAATAGTGGGAGAAAAGTTAGTCCTGGATTTTGTTAACAGTTCCTATTTTCAGATAAGTACAGAGAGCAAGGAAACACAGGACTCCTTATGCAGATACATTGATTTAAGTGTTTGATTCGGTCTGGATATAGCTTTTATCTATTTGTCTTCGTGAGTATGGTTTTATCACAGTAGAAGTTCTAGTTAGTCAGACTCTCCTGATAATGTTGCAGATTGATCACTTGTAGGGATTGTATCTAATTTACTTTTTTGAAAGAGTCACTCCTTGTTATCTTTAATGCCATTAATATATATAGTGACAATTATTAGTATATAAAGGATAGCCATATGTCGCCTCTCTTAGTAACTAGTCTACGTTTGACAACAGGCATTTTACATGATGAAAAATGATTCACTGTGCTAACCTCCTTGAAGTGAGAGATACATAAAATATGTTGCAAACCTATTTAATTTAGTAGAAATATTGAAAAGTATTATCCTTTTCTGTTTTAACTGTTATACTGTACTTAACAGGAAGTAAATCTGGGAGTGAATCTAGGAGGTGGAAAGGAATTAAGTGTTTAAGGAATTGGGGGAAGAAATGCAGCTGTGATAAATCTCAGAGAAGAAGAGAGAAAAACAATCAGAAACACAAAAGGGAATCATGGTGGACTGAGAACTGTGGAGAAACAATGATTCAGAAGGAAAAAGAGGGCTCAGGGCTAAGGAACTGCATCTATGTAAACTCTGTGTCCAAGAGTGCATGGTGTGCTTATATCCAGAGTTCCTTTAACTTGGAACTCAAATTGATATGTTCTAATGAGAGAAGATGGACTGGAGAAATGAACAAGGAGCTCAATTTAGTCTATTCTGCTACACACATGAAATTCAGGTTCTTCTAAAGGTTTAGGAAAGAAAGAGTCTGAAACTATTGGCTAAAAGTTGAGTTTTGAGGATTTGAGGTGAATTTTATGAATTCAGGGGGTTATAGCCCTTTACTACTTACTTACATGTTATCTGAGGGTTGATGTTATTGGAGGCAGTTTTATAAGAATTAGTGGGAAAATAGGCTGTTCTTAGAGGCTTGCGAAAGTAAGGCCAACTCTGTGGAATGTTCTAGAATACAATTCGAAACATTTTCCTCCTTAAAATAACAATGAAATACAGTTTAACCTTCTTTCTAAAAAATGACAGCAATATTGAAGGAAATCCCTTTAGATCCTCACCATCTGGGCTCCATTAATTAAGGATGTGATTCCCCTTGGCGGAATTCCATTCCTGATATTGCTAGTTATGTGGGCTCTCATTTCAAGCTTCATGTGAAGGCTGGTAGGGAGGCTGTAGGATTCACTTTACAATTTAATGCAGGGGTAAGAAAACAGTGATTCCTGGGGAATGTGGACAGAAAGACTAGATTTCTTGACTGCCCACTGTTTGCTGGCAAACATTGGCAAACAAATCCATTTAGTTGATAGAATAATCCTCTGAGGGAGGGATTAGTATCCTTATTCTACAAATGGGTCTTAGAGAGGTTAAGGAAATTGCCCAAAGACACACAACTAAGAAGTGGTACAACTTTGATTTGGCCCCAGGTTTGCATGCTTCTGAAATCTGTGAACTTTCCTCCATATAATGCTGCCATTCAAAAAGGTGTCACGTAAAAAAACAAAGTACTGAGATGTGCTAATGTATAGATGAACCTCCAAAAGAGTACACAAAATGAAAGAAGCCAGTCACAAAATACCAAGTATTATATGATTCCATTTATATGAAATGCTGAGAGAAAGCAAATCTATAAGAAACAGAAAGATTAGTGGTTGCCTAGGGCTTGGAGTGGGAACAGGGTGTGAGTGCAAATGAGCTTGAGGTATCTTTTTGGGGTAATGGAAATGATTCAAATTTGAATTGTAGTGACGCTTGTACAACTGTATGTTTTCTGAAAATCAATGAATTGCACACTTAAAATGAGTGAATTTTATGGTATGTAAAGGATACCTCAATAAATGTTTCTAGAAAGGTATGATCACCATCAAAAAGGTATGATGAACTCATCACTTGACTTTCATTGGCTTTATTCTTTTCTACATATGTAGCTTTTAGCGAAAGGGATATGGCTACAGGGATGGGATAAAGTAAATCTTGACTCTCTGTGCATTCATCAAGATGCCTGCCTGATAGTGGTCATCTAAGCACCAATGCGTTGTTCTTTGTAGGAATACAGGTGGGGGAAAAGGCAGGACTTGAAGGAGTAAATGAATTGTCTCATTTCTTACCAACACAGACCACTCCTTTCTTCTCTACCACCTGGCTCTGGGGCCAGAGGAGGAAGGCAGTGTTGAAAGTGGACAGGGTAAAAGGAAAATGAGGCAAGATAAACAGAGAGGAAGAGCAAAAACAGAGTTGGATTAAACCACACAGGTAGCCCATGGCATTGTGAGACCTCTCTATTGAGACCCACAATTTCATCATCCCTAAGGTCTTTAACATTTTAATGTCTCTGAATTTACAGTTCATTTTACAATGGATGATGCATCATATTGAGTGGCAGCATCTTTTCTTACCTAATGGTACATAAAACAGTGGTGTTTCTTACAATGGATGATGTCTAAATTTAATAAAATACAGTTTGGGTTAAAAGTAAAAAAAAAAAAAAAAAAAAGAATTAAGCCACAAATGCTACATCCCTTTCATCCCTGACCAGTTGAAACCCTCAAGGAATGGTGAACACAAGAGAAGAAAACTTGGACTGTGTTTCTCACTAGCTGACCCTGGGTAAGAAGGCCATCTTCACAGATACAACTGAAACACTTTCTCAAATTGTGTTTAGATCAGCAGAAGTTCAGGTACAGCCCTTTCTTTCAAAGGCATTGGATGCTTTCTGGGCAGAGCCAGCCAGCTGAATCCAAAGTCTCCTCTGAATGGCTTGATTTACCACAGTTATTATACCTTCACCATGCTGATCCTCTCCTAGGCATTAAAGCTAAGAGGGGCACTGCTCGATGTTTCTGTGTATGTGTGTGTGCACACACACACTTATGTGTGTGCACATGCACAGACATCAAGGGTAGGCAGTTGTCTGGACCCTGTCTCCTTGAACTTCCCTCCAAAAATGACTTCTGAGACATCTTTGAAGAATCCCTAGGGCTCCATGATCCAGAGAGTACTGATTTAGCAAAATATCCTTGTTTTATGTTTGAGGAATCTGAGATTTGGAGGATTTAAAGTGACAGCTTGGTCGAGTGTACATGAGGATTTTACAGTCAGGCAAACCGGAGCTGAATACCATCTTTGCTGACCTTGATGGAATTACTTACTCTCTAAATCTCAACTCCCTTATCTGTAAACTAGTTGTCATGCTCACTCCTGGGGTAGTTGAGAGGATTTAGGGAGCCAGGTGGGTGATGCCTACCCTGACAGGGGTATTCTGCCAGTCCCAGGCTGCTCTAAGACTGGAACCCAGGTTTCATGCTCTCTGGTCTAGTGCCTGTTCTATCAACCACACCATCTCCTGAGAGTGAAGAGAGAAGAGTACAGCATATAAGCCAGGAGGGCCTGGAAGAACCAATAACCTCCAGCAAACCCCAGGAGTTTATGCTATGGTGGTGGGCTGGTTATTAGGAGTCCTTTTCCTTTGCTGATGTGGTACCTTTGTTGCACTGGATATTCACACCGTGACCTTCTGTTAGTGGCTGCCGACTAGAGTGGAAGTGAGGTTTGAGTATGCTGATGTGAGAGGCAATATAGCTGTCGTGGGAAAGAGCATTGACTCTAAATCAGATTAGACCCGGAGAAAATCCTGTTTTTACCACTTACCAGGGATACATGTGTACTGATATTGCAAATTGCTTCATAGGGTGGTAAATGGCAGTGCGGCACAGCGGTTAAGTATATAGACTTTGGCGCTAGACTGCCAGTGTTCAAATCTCAGCCTTACCACTCATAAATAGTGTGACCTTGGGCAAAGATGCTGTCCTCTCTGCCTCAATTTCTTAATCAGCAAAATAGGGCTAATAAATAATGGGACCAAACCATACAGCATTCTGAGGATTGAGTAAAGTAATATACAGGAAGCGCTTAGAAGACTGCCTAGCTAGCATACAGCAAATGCTATTATTAAGTTCAGATTAGTGTTACTGTAATTATTAATAAGACATTTAAAATTCAGGTGGTCAAGGTACATTTATATAAAAAAAAATCTGCCCCTCAAATATTTTTCAAATAAATATTTACCTGAAATAAATTTTTGTTTACTTTGGTTTCTTACACTATGTTCTGAGGAATTTTCTAGGTTGAAACTTCCCAGATGGCTACCAAAAGGCCTCTTC